ATACATGTACACATAAACTACTTCTAACGCAAAAATCAACATTCTAGCTCCATACCTCACCATTTTAAAATCTGAATTTTAAGTAAGCATACAAAATGCCGCACTGGCTCTTTGTACCGTTCGTAGAGCAACTAGCGTACATGTTTCACAGCATTGATTCTAATAAACAAATTCTCGTGATGTTGAAATTTTGAGCATAAGCTTGATGGGGATAACTTCATGATACCAGATGTTCTCAAAAATGAGACCAGCAAATAGCCTTTTTGAGGCTGATTCCTCTGATTCCAACTTGAACCACAGCTCTCCTGCAACAGAACTGCGATGAATTTCAATGACTTCATCCGTAATGCCTGTGCGACGATCAGCCTACATGCAAAAAACGGCTCTAATTTTCATCTGTAGTTAACCAGTCTACAAATGAAAGCTGTTGCAACATACGCAAGTCGAATGATAACGGTAAGCCGAACAACCTTAATTTATTTGACATAAGGCTGACGCTCCAGAGATTTAAGGACACAATTAACACCGCTTCCCCTCAAATATCATGAGTTTCTAACTGTAGTTTCACAAATTTTCTAGTAGTCATTTGCAAATTTACTAAGAACTGTAAGAAAAATTTGTACTTCAGAAGTCATTAGAGATACTAGTAAAAAAATCATTATAAATGTTTTTTTTGCACAAAACAAATGCATCATCAAGTATGCGACGGTGAAACAAACCAGTAAGAATCAATGAAGTACGACGCATAAAAATTTGAACCAGCAATTAATTATTTCGAAGAACTTCACGAGCGAGTTCGTCAATCCGCTTCCATGCTTCTTCTTCCCACACGGTAACCATCTCCAACTCGGCCGGATTGAACCGCTTCTCACGAAACGGAGCAAGCGCTTGACCGATCTTGATTGAAGATATATTCATGAGGCTTTCAGACTGCGGGATCACGTAATCGTAATCGCTTTCCGAGTTTTCGGCCGGTGGACAATACTCGATCGCATCATTGATATCAGCTGCATTGAGATCCGGAATTTGCGTGCAACCTATGGAGACGAATAGTTATAATTCACCATTACAACAACCACGAGTATGTGATGCAACCATACTTTATACTTAAGCAAAATTAAACCGTCTTGCCTACAACTGCATCGGCAACGAGTTCTGGAAGAATATCTACCGCTTTCGCAATGAAAAGAAGGGCACTCTAAGAATAATGAAAAAAAAGACCAAATGGCCCATTATCAAGGAACAGCATATACTTTGGCGAGAGAACTTTGAAAAACTGTTTAATAATGAATAAACACTTTAACGTTCTAGTAGATGAACTCCTAGAAGTTGTAAACGTGCCTGAAACTAAAATTATAGTGTTTTCTCGTTCCCCTGCCCGCTACACTCTAGAGATAGACGAGTAATAGTGGAAATGGTGGAGATCCATGTACCTCCGGGTGATGTTTACTGATGGAAAATTGGAGGAAGAAATCAACCCGCGGGTCAGAATCGCCAGCGGTATTTTGCGAGAACCAGCAGGTACCGCTGTTACTAATACGACGCCGTCTACGTTCAAGCTGATTCCTACATCCGTGTTCTCGCATGATTGCGATCCATGAATCATGACTGAAACAAGCCGATCCCGGTTACAAGCAGCCGAAATGAGCTTTCTGAAACGAGTCTCTAGGCTCATGCATATCAACACGGTTTAGAGTTCACATATCCTAGAGAACTTTGATTATAACCGCTGCTTGCTTAACTGACCGGCTGAACAATCGACGACGCTTGGACGTAAGTCATTTTGGAACCAATCGATAGTTATTACTAACGTGCAGACAATTGGCCGGAAGTGTGAATTCATATGATCAGGCTGTGGTCACCTCATTCAACTGTTACATTCAACCCACCATATAACATATTCTTGAAAAGCATGAGATGGGCACAGTGCGGACTGAATTTCTAAGATATCGCATCATATTTTGATTCTTTTTCCTGACTGCGAGAATTTATTAATTCAGCGCGCAACATGGGGTCGTGAGTTTCACTGTATATATTTCCAAGGTTTTCCTAATTTACATACTGATGAATATTACTCAGTGAATTGAATACTAAAAGTCCATCAAATCAGTTAATTTTTAGGTTAACAGTCATGTTTCATGTGCTCATCGTGCGTGCAACTTTAATTTGCTAAGTTAGTCATAATGTACTACACAAACTTTACAGTTTTTATGACTCATTTTACGATTTTACATATCAATGAAAATCTCACTGAGAGTACAAATCGAATTTATTGTCAAATCTATGAATTTCAAATATTTCCGTTTCATTTTATGGTCCCATGTTAAACTGCGCAACGTCATAACCAGGTGCGATAACATTTTAATTATATTTTCTAACCAAAGAGTTCGGTTGGAGCGAGTAATTGCGCTGACGAATTGTTTCACAAAACTTAAACCTGTGAATATAAATTAAAAGTTGAATTTTCATGTAATGCTAATTACAGCTAATGTACAAAGAAACTTTATTTAAATAACAAAAAATTTATATGCAGTATATCACATCATTACGCCGACCCATAAAGGTAAGTAACAATATCTCTATTGTGATAGTCAATCACAAGAGATATTTCTTTTTCGTCTTAGAAAAAATATTTTTTTCAACTTCACACGTGGTTGATGACCGGCAGCAGGTTATAGATAGCATGTTTCACGGCTCTTCTGCACTTTAAGGAGTCTGTCAATTAACTTGCATATCGATGGGTGTAACATTCTCAATTTGGTGTGAGTTCGTCGATGACCTGCCTCTGCGTAACTGTTCATACGGTATTCGCTGTTGATCATCTTACGCATTTCTAGTGGAAACAATGCCGGGCATTTCACGTTAATTTAGCAATTCAAGCGATCAACGTAATTCTCTTCGAACCACCCAAGAAGGAGCTACAATTAGTTCACTTGATTTACTTCGGCAAATGGGTATAAACGCCA